AAGTTCATTTAAGCATGGGGGATGTCATGAGGATGCAATGTCAGCACAATCAAAGAATTGGGGAGAAAGAAGGCAAAGAACCAACCGTAACTAGCTTTCAGAAGTGGGGTCCACAAAAGTGTCGTTCTGCTTATTGCGTTTTTCGTAAAGGGAATACGATTTCCATTCATTTTTGTATTTCAACTTACACATGTATAGAACAGAGGAGAAATGGATTTGTGTGTTGATGTAAAGTCGTTTTTATCAATCTATTCTCTCTCTTATTTCTTCTACTTCTCATATCTTCTTCTTCCTCTAACTCTATCTTCACTCATTCTCAATTTTCGTGATTAATTCGCCAATTGAGCCGAGATCTTAGTTTCTTGAGCTGTGATTATTAAGTTGGTATTGATTTTGAGTGAGTTCATTCCCAAGTTGAACTTCACTCATTACATATGCCTTCTATGTGTGTTTGTTTTACTTTGATAATTTTTTCGTAGAATTCTCTAGAGCAATATCTATACATCCCCTTCTTTTTTTCCTTTTTTTTTTTAGTTTTGTCTGTGTATATGTCCCCGAATGTTTGGATAACTTGTGTAGGAAAATATTATTTTCCTAAAATCAATAGGCAAAGGCGTTGAAGATTTGAACAAAAAACGAGGAAAAAGGGAAGGGACTCGGATCCAAGGGACATAATGGTCTGAGTGGCTTTGTAGGATGATAACCATGGATTTCTCCACTTTTGCCGAATAGAGCTTATGGGAAGCCAACACGGATGGCTGGTGTGGTGGGGATTGGGTCGACTACGGCAGGTGGGGACGACTCTTTTAGGGAAGATAACAATTTTGATTATGCATGTCTTGTTCTTCTTTTGTATTTATTTATTTTTTGCATGAGGTAGTGGGGTTTATTCCAGGTGTGTCGATGAGATTGGATAAGATTATGGAGATCGTCAAAGATTACGACTATATTATCATTATAATTGCACCATATATAGATAGATTGATTTTACTATATTTTAATTTTGGTTTAATATGATGAGGAGAGGCATCAAGTCTTATCCGGGATCTTTGACATAGTTTTAGAGGTTCGTTCTTAGAACTTTTTCTCATTCTCTTGTTTTTTTTTTTCACGACAGAAAGAGCAAACTATCCTCCTTCCAATCATCTCCTTTCAGTCGTTGTTTGAACGAATTCTCTATTTGTCGTCTTTCTCCCCCAAATTCCAATATCTTCCAAAAAACATCAAAAACGTTAATTGTGCAGTATATATTCATCTATCCCTCATTAAGCATACACACATGTTCAGCATAAACAGAGTCGAATATGACGATTAAGAGTTTGAAAATTGCAAGAAGGAGAAATTTGCCCTTGTTCCTGTGGACCCTATCAATATTCCTTATGTTCGATAAGCGGCTTGAGGATGGTCGCATGTTGGCGGATTATAACATCCAAAACCTTGCACCTAGTTTTCCGTCTTCGGGGCGGTATGCAAATTTTTTTAAAGACCCTAACAGTAAAAACCATTACTTTGGAGGTGGAACAACCAAAGCAATAGCGGTTTGCATGTCGGAGTGGATTTAGTTTTTTGTGGAGGAAGTGGATGAGTTCGATGGATTGTCGATGTGGTGGGAACTGGGAACGATCGGTGATGTGGCAATGAAGGCGACGGTTTAGGGTCGATGGGTCTCATGGATTCAACACGTGTAGTAAAGTGCCTGCGCCATTAGTTTCATTTTACCCGAATCGATGTGAGCCGAAATTCCAATTCTTCGGAGCATCTGCAACGATTCCTTCCACCATGCCTCATCCTTCAGTCGAAGGGCGACGAGGTTGTGATTTTGGGTGTGGTGTCCATTGAAGCGATCTATGATTTTGGGTGTGGTGAGGAAGAAGCGTTCTAAGATTGTTAAATAGTTGGGTGGTGTTCCTTTTTTATGTTTATTGTGGGTTTGGCTGATTTTCTTTTAGTGGAAATTACAAAATTCCCGACTTTTAAAGATCTCAGTGTAAAAATAAGGTGAGATGGTTTTTTATGCAGATTTCAGGTATGAATTTAATAATTAATATTAATACAAAATATTTCATCCCCAATTCGGCCTTAAAATTCATTTCACACAGCAATCAGCATCTTCTCTCCTCACTTTCTCCCATTAACCCACAGTGCCGCCGCCCACAATCGGAGAGAGCCTTTCACGTCGTCGCTTCGTCAGCGACTGTCGCTCGCCATTTTGAGGCACTTCGCAGCTTTGACGCAGCATAGGAACCACTGCCGCGAGGTTTGGACGGTGTTTTGTGTAGTGTGGTGTGGTGTTTACGGTGGTGTAGTGGTGGATCTGGCGCAACTGTTGCCATTTTTTGATCGGTGATTTCGGCGGTTGGGGATGGTCTGCAAACGATTTCTCTATCCATCGTGGATGTGGGTGGCTTTGGTGACTTCATGCGGTGCCGAGTGCAATGGATCTAGGTAGGATGGCGGTGGTGGTGGTCTAATTGTGGTCGGCATTTGGTGGTGGTTTTGAATGTATTGGTGCGTTGTGGATGATGATGATGGTTGTTGATGCAGGTGGTGGAGGTGGCCGATCTGTGGTATGTGTGCGATTTTGTTGGTGCAATGTGGGTAGAAGCCAATTATGTTGGTGCGATGTGGGTGGTGGTGTGGTGTACGGCGGCGGCAGTTGTGGTGATACAAGTTGGTGGTTTTGGTTGATTGTCGGTGTTTTTCCATTTTTTTCTTTTTTTTTTTTTTTAGTTGGTGGTCTGTGACCTTAAAATTTGATGGTCTGTGACTAAAAAATAATATATGACCTCAACGATTTGGTCTGTGATTTTAAAATTTAATGATCTGTTACTTCAACGATTTGGTTTGTGACTTTAAAATTTGATGATCTGTGACTAAAAAATAATCTGTGACCCATAAAATTTTTAATTTGCGACCTGGAAATAATCTGTGACCTACAAGATTTTTCATTTGTGACCTCGAAATAATATATGACCAATTAATTTAATGATATGTGACCTTTAAAAAAATTTGTGACCATTAATTGTTTAACCGTGACTTTATTATATTTATTCAATAAATGTTATTAATTAATTAAATCTAAACCTGAATTTTGAATTTTCAAACATTTTACATGAATTTTGAAATGGTGTAAAGAATACACCTTAAATATGAATTTTTCCCTTTCTTTTATTGGGACGTTAGGTTATTTTGGAGTTCTATTTGTGTTGTTGGGCTTCAGTAGTTTATGGGCCTTATCATTGATCTGTGTAGCTACTAGTATTTCGTCAATTGGGCTTGTGGGTTTTGGATTGTTAGCTTGTGTAGGCTGACTACTATTTATAATTGGGAAAATTACGTGGTACCAGATACTTAAAGATCACAATTCAAAAGCCAGGGACCAAGTTTCATTGTGCACAAATCAGGTTTTGATATATAATATGAACCCTAATTTTATTTCCACCCACTTTTATTTCATTCTCACACTCGCACTCTCACTCTTCCTTTCCATCTTCATCCTCTATCAGATGATGTCTTCGTCGCCGTTGGAGCATCCGTCGCCAGAGATCAACCTCATTTCACTTCGCCAACACCAGCACGTTGCTACTAGAATGAAGAGATCAAAGCCTGGGACGAAGGCTTCGATTTGAAATTCCTCCGATTAGCGGTATTTCTCCGACGATTTGCTGTGGCCGATGGTTTACGAGGTAGATGTGCTGTGAACAATTCTCTGACGATTTGTTGTGAATGCAGCTGCTCACGGCTCTGCTTGATTTTTTCCATGGTTTTGATCGTTGGTGGATTTGACGGGTGGTGGTGTGTGCGCCTATGCGGTGATGTTGCTGATGGTATGGTTAGGCAATGAGTGGTTGAATTTTTTTCGATATGTGTTCTGCCAGTTCGTGTGCAGTTGCTCTGGTGGTGGTGGTGTCCCTGACTGTGGCTGTGTATGACAGTGGTGTTGTTGGCAGTGGTTGTTTTGGGTGGAAACGATGGTGAGATTGTGCATGGTATTGTTATTGTATTTGGTGGTGGCGATTGTTGTGGTTTTTGATGGCGGTGGCGGTCGTGGTTGGTGGTTGGAGAGCTGGTAGAGTTGATTGCCCAGGTTTTTGTTAGCAATTGATTGGATCTGGTGGTGAAAATTTTGGCAGTAGCGATGGTAGTGGCGATGGCGATGATAGTGATGGAGTGAGGATGGTGGTGACAGTAAAGGTGGTGGTGGTATGTGACCCACTATTTGACCTGTGACCAATGTGACCTTAAAATTTGATAATTGTGACCAACAAATTCGAAAATATGTAACTAATAGATAATCTGTGACCTATAATTTTTTAATCTGTAACTAATGATGAAAACAGTGACCTATAAAATTTTTGATTTGCAATCTCGAAATAATCTGTGACCAATAAAATTTTTGATTTGCAACCACAAAAAAATCTGTGACCAACATAATTTTGATTTGTGACCAAAAAAAAATCTGTGACCTATAATTGGAGATTTGTGACCACAATTGTGTAACCGTGAGTTTTATTATATTTAAATATTAAATATTTTTAATTAATTATATAAAAACCTGATTTTTGCATAATTAAACTTAACCACTTTAATTTTGAAGTGTGCATACTTAAAACATGGTTTGTGAATTCTTCCCTTTATAATTTTTTAAGTTTGTGTGGGTATCTTAAGCTAGGGTTTGAAGGAATGGAGAATAGTATGTGGTGGATAATTGTGGGCAGTCCATTTCAATTTAAGATATTTTAAATGTGAGCTTTATCAAGATTAAGTGTTGGCCAAGCTTCACATTTTTTTCCCTTTCTACGGTGCTTTGTGGGTGTAGTGGAAATTGGCAAAATAATTGTATTTTTTTTTATTATTATTATTTTTTTTTTTGGAGCATGAGAATACATAGGGATGAGAGACATGGGAGTGTACATTGTTGAATTTTGGTTGCTCAGGTGGTGAACAAGAGTTTTGAATTTTCAGATGAGGATCATCTTTGAGTTTTTGGTATAAGCTGGTCAATGAAATTTCTTCCAATTACAGTAACTAGGCCAGAGATATACTGCTGGATTTTTGGCCGGTGTTTTGGAAGTTCGAACATTTGTTGGAATACAAATTATGTGTTCAACTGAGTTCTCTTGATTGATAGAGCTCATTGTATGTGGTCGGCACACTTAATGAATTTCTTTAAAAATTTCTTCTTGGGAATGAGCTCTCTTAAGTGGTTTTGGAGTTGTTATTAGTTGTTTCCTCACTATTTATTGTTCTTGATCTCTGATCGTCACTATTTTTCATAGACGATTACTCTAATTTGGATCTCTACTTTGTGGGCACAAGCATTGTCTTTGCCGTCAATTCATGATTACAAATTGACACTTTTACCAGTATCAATTCGAGGGATGTCAATGATTGAATAAGAGTACGGAGATCATCGAAGATTACGACTACATTATCATTATAATTGTACCATATATAGATAGATTATTTTTACCATATTTAGTTTGATTTTGCTTCTATATAATGAGAGAATATCTCACATTGAGAGGCATCAAATCTTATTAAGTCCTTGTTTAAGCCACATTATTTTCATAAAAATGCATTTTTAAAAGTGTATTAATGAAAAATGTATTGTTAAAAAATAAGGAAATTTTTTTGGATTTGCATATAATATTATTATATTGAAAAATGTAAAATTGAAATGATATATAATCAATGTTTAAGAATATATTTTTTAAAAGAATGCGATTTAAACAGGGCTTAAGTATATTTGACAAGGTGAATGTGGTCGTGGAGTTGACTACTCACTACGATGAGAGTTGGCGACTACATCAAACACGAATTTTTTTACTATAACATGTATGTTTTTTTTTTATAGGTACTATAACACGTATTACAAAAAAAGTATAACACAAGTTATTAAGTGTAACCCATCGTGTTACAAATGCAATAAAATATGTGCTGTATCCTAGAAATAGTTTATATTTTTCAGTGTACTATGAAAGCTCTTTTACATCTTCATATTGTAGTCCCATGTTATCTAATTTGATTTTAGCCATTATGGATCTGGCCGTGAAACCAAGGCTAACCGACTTGTCGAGGGCGCCTAACACGTGCTGGATCGTATTTAGAAAATAAAACAAACTTAGAAAAAGAAAAGGTGTTGGATCTTGTGGCCCATCCAGCACAACTCAAGTGTCCAACTTTTCAGTTTCCAACTCAAGTGTCCAACTTTTCAGTTTCCAGGCATGGCCTAAAGAAAAAGGTAAATTATACGAGATACCAAAAAGCAGGTTGACTTAGCCCGGTCCACTTTACACCTCCACCCCTACATACTTGAAGCCCTGTCATATGTTTTATATGAAAATTTGACTCCCACATATAAGAAAAAGAATTATTATTTTTGTACAATCGGGATGGACAACCCTGCTTGACAATGTACTTATATGAAGGGAGACACACGATTTTTTTATTCAGCGTGGATCCTCCTCCCATGTGTCTAATTGTCAACTCTGATTGTACACATAGCGCAACTGAAGAGTACAGAACCCCAATTCATAAACTCCATAAGAGGCCTCAAACATGATGGGATCAGAATTTTTTTATTATTATTGTTTATTATATCGGGCGTATTCTGGTTCTCTTCTGTAAAAATAATTCGGTACAATCAGAATTGTTGATATAAAAACTACCTCACCAATCTTATCTTAATCTAAAATGGATAATATTGAATATTTAGAGTTATTTTCAACTCTTCACAGATAATATATTATAGCACTAGGATAAATACGCCCAATTGATGGACAAATACATTATGAAAACATTGTAGAGTAACCAAACAGGTAAAAGGAAGGAGGCGTGAAAAATTTCAAGATTTGCCCATTATTTTGTCCAGTTCAACCTGCTTAACATGCCATGAGTATCCCAAAGAACCTGGTAAAACAAACACAAGATACATAAAGCTTTCAGTTAAGGGGCCATCCTATTTTCATTCACAATTCACCCATAACAAATTCTCCATCCAAGGCAAGTGTCCACTTCAACTTTGTATCTATCATCGATCCTATCTTTCATCACTGAGGTTATGCCCCTTCTCAATCACAACAATGATGACCATCTATTCTTCAAGATGCAATTAAGCACAGATTTTAAAAAAATATACTGTCTCCATCCCCAATATTTGCAAGGACAGTTGTGACACTACATTGTAAAATGTTGAGGATGAAATCAATGCCCAGTATAGGAAAAGGCACCCAAAAAAATAATCTTGCAAAACAGATGCTTCAAGACTATGTTCAATTTCTCCGTTATCCACTATGTAGATGTCAACGAATACAACAATGATAATTTGACAAGGCGATTAGGAAGATGAGGAGCACGTTTGGATGAGTTTGTTAAGGTAAGGTTACACTGTTTTCAGTTATTCTACTTTCAGTGAGAAGTTGAGAAGTTCATATGAGTGTGAAGTTTTGTACCATAGTACAAAGGGAAAGCCGGAAGCTGCATTCTCTCCTGTGCTTATATAGATTTTCAGGGTTTGCATTGAAATCTATGTTAGGAACAAGGAAGTACACCATGTTTGACACAAAAGCCAAATGCCATTGTATTCTGGCTTCTTCTTTGTGGATAATCATGTAAATACATTTCTAGGCATCAATGTGTCGCTAATAATGTTGCAGCCAATCTACCTTAACCCTTCCTCCACTCATGCCTAGTCAATATGAAGAATATGGGGGAGATGTTGAGGATTAAACCTTGGTCCCTACTTCCGAAAAATAAAAATAAAAAAAGAAGTGAAATTGAAGACAAGCAATGTCACACTTATAATGGTTCAGTCTCAAAGTGAGGGCTATAATCTCCTTCCCCGTAATTCGGTTGCTCTACAGTTCCATATATCTCACTCCCTAGATCAAGAGAAACAATATCCCATCTCGAACTGGTGTGCACCACCCAAGGACTAGCAAACCAGTGGAGCTTCCCATTAGCAAATTTGCCCATATCATCCCTAGGCGCCCCACCCTTAAAATCCTCAATCCTCCTCCAAGAATTATTCTTCAAACTATAAACCTTCAACACTGTCTTATACCTACCCAAGTTTTCATATCTACCGAATATGCCCACAACCTTGTAATCTTCATTAGCCTCATCAAAACCAAACCCATATTGGACACATGGCCGTGGTTTTATCGCAACATTTACATTTGGCAATTTCTTGTATTTTCTAACGGATGGGTTCCACAAGATAAAATTATTTTCAGTTATGGCAATGCAAATAAGCCCATTGCAAGAACCCACTACCCGAACAAATGTTCGTGGATTTCTCCCTGGATAACCAATCTTAACCGCATCCGTTGAAGGCTCATACAAAAAAGATCTAAGCGAACAAGTTTTCAGATTAAAACGTGGTTCCGAGATGGTGAACATGATTCTGTGGCGGCTAAAATTCGGGTCATTTGATGCTATCTTGAGATGGGTTTTAATGAATTCTGGACAGGAGATTAAGGAAAGCCATGCTTTTGAAACGCACTTGAATTTCAAGAGCGACTTTACAGGAAGTCTTGACAGGATTTCTGTTACGATTTCTGATGGGAGGTGGGGGGTTTTTTGAGAAAAGTTCCCGATTTCCTTCGGTTGTTGCAAGATTGTAGGATATGAAGAATTTCTTGAGATTTCCAGTTGAAACTTCTCCATTTGGAATGAATGAAAGGGTTTACTGTGAAGAGGAAGAACGTCTTGTTTCCATTTGATTTTGAAGCACTGAGAGGGGAGATTTTTTCAGAAAGCAATGGGTAAAACGCATTTTTTTTTATATAAAATCCTTCTTAATTTTTATAAAATTATTAAAATAAAATAATAAATAAAAGATACAAAAATGTTATTGCTTGTTTGTGCCGCATTATTTGTGAACAATGTATTATGGAATAGTGACTGATATTGAAATGCGTGGTTAAAAAAAGAAATTTTTTTGATTTACGTGTAATATTATTTTAATGAAGAATGTGTGATTGAAAATGAGTATTATTAAAAAATGTGGTAAAATGTGAAATAATGGAAGACAAACAAATTTAAAATTGACGACTTCATTTTCTCCATTACTAAAATCTCAAAAAATTCTTCAAAAATTCAATAAAAGTATCTCGTGAACAATAATTAGTAGTTAACATTCCATTTTTGAATCGATAACTACGTTTACATTTTATTTTTATTTTATTTTATTTTTTTGGTTTTTTTTGCATTTATTTTGTTCGAATTTCGTTAGTTTGAGTTTTGTTTTTAGTTGTTAAATTCTTTGTTGGCTTATTTTAGAGGGTTTAGATAGAAGGTTCATCTTATTAGACAATCTTTTTATTTATTTATTTATTTATTTATTTTATTTTTTAATTGATGGAAAAGGTAGCAAATAATTATATAACGATGTGTCCTGCAATGTTTATATTTAGCCTTTTGCTCTTCTATATCTAAACTTTCTTAAAGTGTATATTAAAATGTAAATATGGAATCGATGCTCCTCATAGTTTGTTACTTGGTGAACTTTGAAAGAATGAAAATGGTTGATGGACATGAAAATGTAATAGGGTAATGGAGAAGGTGGTGGTGTACTTCATTTAACAGTGAAAATTGTCAAATCGTTGACTTTTGATTAATTAATAATCAAATGAACGGAATCAATCCATTTATCCTTCTGGTGCAACTAAATTAAAGGTTTGGGACCGTAGATGGTAACCACAACTGAAATTATTCCAAATATTGAATAATAATGGACAAGTTTAAAGAAATGGAGTTAAATATTTCGTTAGTCACTGAACTTATAAATTTGTTACGATTTACTTCTAAGTGGTCATCAAACTTGAGCACTCTATCACTTTCTCAGCATGTTTCATTACATATACATCTGTCATGCTTTACTTAGTGAATTTATACTTCGATCATACTTTATTCACCGGACTTTAAAATACTTTCGAATGGTCAGTAAACTTTACTTATTGAATTCAAATGTTCAAAAATTGAAGTATTTGAAGTATAAAATACCATACACAAAAATGATCTTCTTTTTAGGGATGGCGAAAATTCTAGCTCCGACGGGTTGGCATGGTGGAGCGGGGCTTAACTCCTCACCCCATGGCGAGGCGCCCAAACCCGTCCCGTGAAGAAAAATAATAATAAAAAACAACAGGGCAAGCCATCGCCCCTCCTGTCATCACTATTCTTTTCTCTTGAATTATTTTGTGACGATTCCAAAAATTATATTTTTTTAGTATTGATTAATATTATTGACTCTAAATCGAAAATTTCATAGTCAATTTGTACATAAAGCATACAAAACGACAAATTAAAAACCCAAAATGAAAAGTAAACTATTTGCTTAAAACATCCCAAGATCTGCATTGATGAAATGGTCTCTGAAAAGAGATATCTCAGGTAAGAACAGAGAATTAGTATAGGGAGATAAGGTGATGAAAAAGAAAAAGAATAAAAATAATAAAAAATAAAAAAGAAATACGCGGGTTGTGTGGAGTGTCAGACAGAAGCTTCAAAAGAAATGTTGTTTGGGTTTAGAAGAAGTCATAATTCAGTTGTGTAAAGAATAAGAGTGAGGTAGTCTCAGCCTTGCTGACAGCCACAGTGTGAGAATTCGATTCCTGAGATATAGAATTGAACTATTTATGAGCACCAGTGTACGATGACTAATTTTATTTAAAGCTCTTCATTTTTTCTTCTTTTGTTTTTGGATTTTTGTTTTCCAAAAAGAAGAATCATTTATAAAATTTGATGAAGTTTTATGCCGACTATTACTCTATCGCAATTTTCATTCTTTGTTTGGCTTGAATTGAGAACCAAGAAATAAACTTCCAGAAACAATTCTGAGATCTAAATATAAACGAATTAACAATTCAAGAGTCATTGTTTGTAAACATATCTAGACAGAATTAATTAATTGGAAAATACTATATGTACATGATTTTTCTACCTAATCCTTTACTTACTATTCACAATGGGATAATCCGATCATTTTTAGGGACGGTTAACCACATGAAATCACGTTCTCAACCTACTTTTTCTACTGGGAAATACCAATTTGCAGCACTACCTGTAATCATTCAAATTTCACAACAATTAAATTGGACATCCCAATTTGAATTATGATTTTTTATTTTCTTAATCTGGTCTATGATCTCAATCGAAATAAAAAAATAATTGCTTTATTTTATTTTCTCTACGTAAAAAAGATATAATCTAAATTAAGGAACATATCTTTTGACAACTAGATAAACTATATTTTCTCGACCAATATCAATATCATCATCTTAGAGAGTCTCATTATCTAGTCAATATATATATTCATTTTAAAGTTCAGTAAGTAAAGTGTGAGGAAAGCTTAAATTTAAAGACCACTGCAAAGCATTTTAAATTTCAATAAGTAAGATGTGATGTAGATACAAGTTAAAGTGACCGATAAAACATTTAACTCCTTGGTGTAAGGTGCATTGCTATGATGTTTAGAGACAAAATAACAATATTTTCTAGAAAACGCTCAATTCAAAGAAAGGTAAGTCGAATAGCTTCAGTAACAATGACAACGATTTCCATAATATTTAACATTTCCCATTAACCATCCACATAATATTTCCAAGTTGATGTTGCCCAAGTTATCAAGAGTAGGTTTTCACCGTTTACAATTTCAATCCCTCCAGCGGTGACCACAGTTTGGGTTGCAGCAAACGAAGAACAGAGTCATGCCTTCTTCTCCCCTAGCCGTTGCCTGCACAATAATCGAAAGGAGAAAAAGCACGTGAATAAAGCTTTGCAATATGCCATGAATGATAAATCGACAACTTTCACAAAAAGCAGTGACAATATCAACTCAACTTTAAAGGAATACTAGCTACAGGTAATGGGAAAGTTAAGACTTGACTCAACCGAAGAAAGACTTCTGATGTGCTCCAACTAGTAACAACTTTCAGACTTGGCAATTGGCATAATAGCAATGAAGAGAGACGGCAATGTGTAAAACTTGTAGCTCCCAGTAATAAAAATTAGAGTAGCAATAATACCTGAAAGAAAACAGCTTCTCCATGACCACAATTGGAACAACGAACTGCTTTTGTACGGGGAAGAGTAGGATCTGCAGCTACGTCCTGCAAGACCTGGGTGCGCTCCCCAGCAGAATGGTGTATCTCATTTCTGTAGACACAATTGTTATCAGCAACCTCCTGCAGAGTCGTATGTTGAAATAGAAATTAAACATTAAAATGAAATCTGCCTACTGTCCAAAGCATTTTTGCTTAAAAGGAAGAAATCTATTAATAAGAATAAACAACTGCTAGGTGCCAAAGAAGAATTGGGGTTGGAACTAGTATGAAGCTTGTCAAAAGGCTGTGATGGTTTGAAGATGGCACCATAAGTCCTCGATACAGAATGAAAGAAAAAAGCTAAACAAAAATCTATCTCCACTCCTGCATATTTGATGAAGCCAATCTGGCAAGAGAAACATATGTCTAGTTCCTATGCTAATAGGAGTCGGACTTCTTCTTTTTCCTACGGCAACAGAAACCCTTTGTCTTATGTGGACCTTTCCGAGCATTTTATAATATATTTAAAAAAAAAAAAAAAAAAAAAAAAAGGGAAGAAGAAGAAGTTGCCCATGGATTCGTACTTTCTAAAGCTTTCGTGGATGTTTATCAACCACTCAAAGTAATGCTATTAGATTTATGATGCCACATCCATATTACATCAAAAAATTACAAATTCTACAGTCTTTCCGGCTAGAATAATTGATTTAAACAAAATATTGCAGTTTCATTTATCATATCTTCAGTGGGTATGTAGGAATTCTTTTAGAAATTAGGCTCATTTTCCAGTATGAATATCCTGAGATTTTGGTTATTGAAAACTGGAAATACGGAAGGAGAAAAATACTGTGAAAACCAATAAATTTGTTATTATAATACTGAATCAACATATTATGATAGTAACAAAACAGAAATAAAAAGTGCAGCCTTAGTTCGGATCCCTACATTAAAAGATTCGGCTTTGCTTGCTTATTCTGTGGTAATTGTCTACCTCCCTGATGAACCGGGCATTGAATGGGGATTAAATGAAATTATGGAGCACAAGCAGTGGGGTTTGACAGGGGAAAGCAAATTTGGAAAGTAGGAAAACTGGAAAGACAAAAAGCGGTGAGTGGGCGTTGATGTTTTGAAGCCTATGATGCAAGATCTGCTTTCATTTTCATTGTGGTACTTTTTGATTAAAAAGATTATATAAACTTTTAAAAGAAAATGGAAAAATAAATTCTCAAAATCTAGTGGGAGCACCACCCCTCTCCCCACCACTGCCCATGGGGACAAGAAAAATTATTACTCTATCCCATAAAAAGTCTCTAAAAATGTACTCGCACTCAGAGATTCAAGCATTACCTTAATCCAACAAGCACATCCCTATAAGATCTTACCCTACTAAATCTTGTTTCGAACAAATCCATCAACATTCAGTTCAGCACTAAGTGCTTAACATAATGTATCTATGTATCCACAGAGCAGCAAACAACATTATATGAAGGGTTTCCAGGACACAAATTTGTGACCCCAATTGTGTACTAGATAAGAAGTAAGCCACACGAATATGATACTTTTTCTGCTTAATGGAAACCCAAAAAATGGCAAGATGATAGGCCACCGATCCGGTTCACTTATGCTAGAAGAAAGAAGAGCAACGATACTAAAGATTCGGCCAAGTCAGTTGAGTTTGTTAGTGAGGGGTAAAAATGTAATAATCTGTTGTAGGAAACGTAAATAAATAGGGTGAGACAATAGGCGGGAAGGGAATGAAAAATCTGGTTTTCTGTTGAGAGTAGGGAGGAGAGACAGGGCCTCTCAAATAGCCCTGAACTTGTATCTTTTCGATTTTCCTTCATCTGATTTCATTAATAAATCATTCGTTTCACTATATTTTGAGTGTTCTCCCATCTAAGCAGGTGGGACTCTATCAATTTTGGTATCAGAGCATCATTTTTGGGACCATGACAATTACAGATCGTGTGGGACAACTGGAATCAAGGTTCGATGGGTTATAGGAAGCAGTGGAGGTACTAAAGTTGGAAATGCAGCGGGATATGGCAATGATAATGGAGAAGCTCGACTTTGTGATGACAAAGTGGGGAGAACAAGAGAGGGACAGGAAGGAAAAGGGGAACTCATCCAACTCACCGGATCCGACCATGGATTCGAAGGCACAAATCAAAACACAGGAGTTCATAGGAGGAACTGAAGGACGGTTGCGTCGAGAGGATATGGGGCGGTTGGAAAATAGTACCCATCGGTTGGAGATGTCGGTATTCAATGGAGAAGAGCCCGATGCTTGGATTTTCAGAGCAGAAAGGTATTTTAACATCAACCAGTTTTCCGATTGGGAGAAAATCGAGGCAACAGCAGTTTGTTTCGAGGGCGAGGCTCTCGCGTGGTATCAGTGGGAAAATGGACGACGGCCTTTGATTCGTTGGGATGATCTGAAATTACTACTACTAGAGAGGTTCAGGCCATCGCAAGAGGGTAGCGTGTTGGAGAAATTTCTGGCTCAAAAACAAGATGGGTCCGTGAGAGACTACCGCTGTTGGTTTGAGTTGTTAACTGCTCCTTTGCCGGCGATCCCAAAGTCGATTTTGGAAGGAAACTTTCTAAATGGGTTGAGTCCAGTGATTAGAGCTGAAGTGAGGATGCTAAGGCCACAGGGATTGGGCCAAATTACGGAAATGGCCCAACGGGTCGAGGACCGGAATGAGTCCAGCGTTGATAGGCCCAATTAGATCAAGGCCCTCCAACGCAGCCCCATCTTATGCCAATCTATTTGGGAGCAACCCAAATTATACAACTCTGTACCTAAGAGGAGCGAAACCAACCTTCCAAAGCAACCAGCAGGCCCCGATTATAATTCCCAGAGCTTCGGTAGTCGCAACCCAACGATCGACGCTAACCACCAAAGCAACGCCGAATTTCAAGCGACTGACCGACGTCGAGCTTCAGTCGAAGAAGGAGAGAGGTTTGTGCTACCACTGTGATGAGCGGTTCTTTCCGAGTCACTAGCGCAAAAATCAAGAATTTCAAGTACTGTTAGTGCAACGGGAAGAGGTGGAGAAACCGCTGAAGGAACTCGAGGAGGAGACTGAAAATCACGTGGGGGATACGGTGGAGTTGCCCATCAAATCTGTGGTTGGGTTAACTGCGCCTAAAACCATGAAGTTGGGAGGGTAGATTTCAGGACAAGCAGTGGTAGTCCTTATTGACTGTGGAGCTACGCACAATTTCATCTCGAGTGAGCTAGTCCAAAACTTGGGGCTACGAGTTATGGAGTCGACAAGCTACGGGGTTCTCATGGGAACGGGGTTGTCTGTGAAAGGAGAAGGTATTTGTCAGGGAATAGTAGTTTCACTACCTCATGTTGATGTGGTTGAGGACTTCCTACCTTTAAAATTGAGTTGTATAAATGTTATTCTGGGAACGAAGTGGCTAGAAACTTTGGGCAGGATGCAAGTGAATTGGGGAACCTTAACCATGCGCTTTAAGGTGAAGGGGGAAACTATAGTATTGCAAGGAGATCCTAGCTTGGGTAAGACGCAAGTGTCGTTGAAGTCTCCAGACAAAACTTTTAAGGAGGGGGAACAAGGGATTTTGCTGGAATTGAGTTGTATAGAGGTGGAGCAACGAAGCAGTAGTGCACCACTCAATTAAGGAGTTGCTACAGTAGCATCGCAGGGTGTTTGAATGGCCAAACTGCCCCCGCCAAGGGCACGAGACCATGCCATTCTCCTGCAACCCGGTGCAACTATGATATACGTGAAGCCCTACAGATACCCTTATGTTCAGAAGAACGAAAAGTTGATTAAGGAAATGCTAGCTGCCGGAATCATACGGCAAAGTCTCAGCCCATTCTCGAGCCCGGTCTTGTTGGTAAAGAAAAAAGACGGTAGCTGGAGGTTTTGTGTCGATTATCGGGCACTAAATAAGGTCACTGTGCCTGACCGTTTTCCAATCCCAGCAATTGATGAGTTGTTAGATGAATTACATGGGGCTCATGTGTTCTCTATGTTGGACCTGAAATCTGGCTATCATCAAATCAGAGTTAGACGAGGATATCCATAAGACTACCTTTCGTACTCATGAGGGGCACTATGAGTTCTTGGTCATGCCATTTGGGCTGACCAACGCCCTTGCAACTTTTCAGTACATGATGAATGAGGTATTTCGGCCCTACCTACGGAAGTTTGTCCTTGTCTTCTTCGACGACATTTTGGTTTACAGTAAATCAATTGATGAACACCTGCAACACCTGAACATGGCGCTAGAAGTGTTGCAAGAGCAACGTTTATTTGCTAATGAAAAGAAGTGCTTGTTTGGGCAACCGGAAGTAGAATACCTTGGTCATGTGATTTCTGAAAAAGGAGTAGCAGCTGATCAGTCGAGAATTGAAGCAATGGTGAGCTGGCCGAGCCCAGGCAACATCAGGAAGCTTCGGGGGTTCTTGGGGCTTACAGGCTACTATAGAAGGTTTGTGGCTGGGCTACGCTAAGTTAGTTTGGCTATTAACTGAGTTACTCAAGAAAGACAGATTCAAATGGAATGAAGAAGCAAAGGCAACCTTTCAAACTCTTAAGTCATCTATGGTCAGTGTTCCAGTTCTTACCCTACCTGATTTTTCTAAGCAGTTTGTGGTGGAAACCGATGCCTCGGGCTACAGGCTAGGGGCAGTCTTGATGCAAGACGGTCACCCTATTGCATACTTTAGTAAGGTTCTTCCCCAGAGTATCAGGCAAAAGTCAGTTTACGAGAGGGAATTAATGGCCATTGTATTCGCCATCCAGAAATGGCGTCACTACTTGTTGGGAAGACAGTTTGTGGTCAGAACAGATCAGCATAGTTTGAAATTTTTATTGGAACAACAGCTGGTGGGTGATGATCATCAAAAATGGCTCACCAAACTCATGGGGTACCAATTCGACATCCAGTATCGCCCGGGTTTGGAGAACAAAGTGGCGGATGCTCTATCACGAATGCAACCCTCATTGAATATTCTGGCTCTGACTACTCCTAAAATTCTGCAACTTGAAGAGGTGAAGAAAGAGGTCATGGCTGACAAAGTGCTGGGGAAATTAATGTTGGACCTGTAGGCTGGGGTCAGTGTGAAGACAAGGTATAAGCTGATTGATGGAGTTCTATGTTTCCATGGAAAGATTGTATTGTCGGGTGATTCGCATCTTGTCACCCTTATGCTATAGGAATGCCATAACACGAAGGTAGGAGGGCATTCGGGGTTCCTCAAAACATATAAACGAATTGCCAGGTAAGTGTATTGGCAAGGGATGAAGAGGAAGGTGAGAGAGTATGTGGCAGCGCGCATGACTTGCCAACAGAACAAGTATATGGCTTTGTCCTCGGGTGGATTGTTGCAACCCTTGCCAATTCCTAAGATGATTTGGGAAGATGTATATATGGATTTCATTGAGGGTCTTCCCCGGTCAAGTGGTATTGAGACTATATTGGTGGTGGTGGACCGTTTGAGTAAGTATGGGCATTTCAATGGTCTTAAGCACCCCTTCACCGCCCCCATGATGGCTGAGGTTTTCACACATGAGGCCGTTCGTTTGCACGGTATACCACGTTCCATTGTTTGTGACAGGGATCAAATTTTTATGAGTACATTCTGGAATGCCTCATTCAAAGCACAAGGGACCGCTCTCAAGCACAGCACCGCTTATCACCCGCAAAATGATGGGCAGACAGAAGTGGTAAACAGGTGTTTGGAAACTTATTTGCGGTGTTTTGCAGCTGATAGACCGCGGGGCTGGAGTCATTATTTACACTGGGCCGAGTTCTGGTACAACACTTTTTTCCATACCGCAACCAAGTATACACCCTTTCAAATTGTGTACGGCCATGAGCCACCTCAAATTCTGCCATTAGACAAGGGTATGACAGCCAGCTCCTCGGTAGAGCAGCTACTATTAGATCATGATGAGGCTTTGGAAAAACTTAAAGTCTAGCTCAGTAGAACACAGCAGAGGATGAAGAAGAGTGCAGATGGCCACCGCTGTGATATCCAATTTGAGGTAGGAGACCTGGTCTTTTCAAACTACGTCCCTACCGTCAGAAGTCCGTTGCAAAGAGACCATTTAAGAAGCTGTCTCCTAAGTACTATGGACCCTTTGAAGTGGAATCAAAGATTGGACAAGTAGCATACAAACTAAAACTGCCTACTACAGCAACTATTCATCCGATTTTCCATGTCTCTCTACTCCAGAAGGCAGTGGGAAATGTGCAGCTGACCTCATCATTTCCTCCCCAATTAACTGGTGAAGGGGAATTCATTTTGGAACCAGAAGCAGTGCTGGGTGTGTGCCCAAACTCTGTCAACACAGTGGGGGGACCTGATGTTTTAATAAAGTGGAAGAATTTGCCTGATTTCGAGGCCAGCTGGGAACCATTTGATACAGTCAGGTTGCAATTTCCTAGTTTCCACCATGAGGACAAGGTGGATTTCGAGGCGGCAGGTGATGATAGGCCACCGATCCGGTTAACATATGCTAGAAGAAAGAAGAGCAATGATACTAAAGATTCAGCCAAGTCAGTTGAGTTTGTTAGTGAGGGGTAAAAATGTAATAATCTACAACATAAATAAATAGGGTGAGACAATAGGCAGGAAGGGCATGAAAAACCTGGTTTTCTATTGAGAGTAGGGAGGAGAGACAGGGCCTCTCAAATAGCCCTGAACTTGTATCTTTTCGGTTTTCCTTCATCTGATTTCATTAATAAACCATTCATTTCACTATGTTTTGAGTGTTATTCCCATCGAAGCAGGTGGGACTCTATCACAAAAATAATAGAATCCAGCCATTAAGAGTACAGAGAGAAAAGCATTGAACAAAAGATAAGCTTTGAAACTGGAAGGCAGGCATGTATCTCTTAGTCTATGGAGAATAGTTTGATAGTATTGAGTAGTATTCATAAAAATTAAAATATACTAAGGCATGCCATATAAGAACTTAGAATGTAAAGTCTCGCCAATGTCAAACTCCCTAATGTTGTATAGTAACATTAGCGCGTCTCTGTAATGGGAGTCAAGATTTAGCATCAGTATTATTTTAAGACCTATTCAAGAGAGGGAGAGTAAGCATATCCTATAGATGCACACTAATGGTATTGTAGTTATTTTCTTATTCTGCCACGAAGGCAAGAATATCAACCTTTAATCACTTCTTTCTTTGATAAGAATCAATCAAGATTTTCTTTTCTTGATAAGAATCAATCAAGATTTTCTTTTCATTATTCTTTCCAAATCATTTCCACAGAAGTATACTAGACAAACTTCACAAGATACTAAATAACCACAACAATTAGTCTTAGTAACAGTAGAGACAATTTCATAACTTTAACTGCCATTAAGCAAACCAGCCAAAATGGCTTGTATATAACTCACCCGTTCCAAAAGCATGGTGCCCAAGGCCTCAAAGATCTACCTTCCGTGTACGAACCATTTTTCTTTCACATACAAATACATGAATGAAAAATGAGTTTACCAAACATTAATCAGCCAGTAAATGTCCTAAGTCTCAACATGTTCTAGTCCCTAAACCCTAAACTTTAACTTAAAATGTTCGTCCTTAAACAATACATCTAGTATTGATCAACGTTCAAATAAACAATCAGATAGATAAAATAAAAAACATGCATAACAAAGCTACATTCTGTGTGCGCGCGCGCGTGTGAGAGAGAGAGAGAGATTTGGGACCTGATGATCACAATTGCGACACGCATAGAGGAGGATTTTCTGTTCCTTGTCTTCCCTCGGGTACAATATGTTGTTACTGCATACATATAAACCATGTGAATAGCATCCGAGGGTGAATTTCCCAAATAGAAGCAACAATAACAATTATAATATCAAAACCCTGGAATCAGCATTACAAACACATCCACACACTCTCGTAAATGCGTGTGAATGCGTAAGAACAAGGCAATGTCATACCATTCCCGACAAAACTTCATGGTACTCATCTTGGAAACTTAGCAGATTTACAAGTAATCGCTTGTTATGAGTTTGATCTTCCTCTCTCTCTCCCCCCCGCAGAAACCCCGTGCTTTGCTTTTGCTGGTAATTTGGGGATGGTAGAGTGCATATTTTGCCCGTTTGTTTTAGGTAAATTCCTCAAGAGGTCACCAACCTTTTCCTTAAGTGGTGGCATCGAAGTCCCAAACTTTTTAACATTGCTTGAACGGCATTTGCACTTGATAAAAAATGTCTATTTAGACGTTAAAAGTCCACGTGACACTCTCGTAATGTTTTAATAAAATGATTAAATTATCTAAAATTATTTTTTTGAAATATCACTAATGTTACAATACCAAACTAGGTGGTATTATGTAGTGGCTCAATTAAATGTCAATTATATTTCTCATTTAATTGTTTCTTTCATTTAATATCACTAATACCATATAAATTGGTGTGTAACAATAATGATGTTAAATAACACTACTCCTTCAAAAACAAAATGTGACCATGTAACTTACATTAAACCCCAATTTCAGGTAACTAAAAATCAGATTTCTAGTAGATTTTGATAAAAGTTTATGAAATGTGTGGTTAAAAAGTTGTTCCAATAAGATATGTGTTAAAATTTATTATTAACTTTGATTTCAATTTAAGTCCATACTAAACAAGGGTTAAATGTTGTCATTTTAAGACAAGATATGACTGCACACACAAGAAAAGTTGAGGGCCCCAGAGGAATTTACTTTGGTTTGGGTAGAATAGGCCGAGTTTTGGGAGACAAGCTTTTGGGAGAAGTGCTATAAATACAACACTTTTGACAGCTCTCTCAAATGCATGGATGAGGCCAGCGATTAAAATATTTTGTGAAAGAGCTGTCATGCAAAGTGTACAACGGATGCATCTTACATTTCTTAGTTTTTGGGCCCTGTCCCTAGGGCTTTAGCCTTTGGGATTGAGCTTCAGCTATGACATAATTAAGAGGAAATGGATTTTAAAAATTGTTTGGTACAGATTTTTTTAAGGGAAAAAGGAATTTCTTAAAGAAATTTTAGAATTTTTAGATACCTTATTTTTAAAAACTTTAAAAACAGATTTTATATCAAGAAATAAAGAATTAATAATTTTTAATAAGACATCTTCTAAGATAAATAGTATAGACAAAATTTTAGAATTAGCTGAAAAAATTCAAATAACAGGAGAAAACCTTATAAAATATTGGGATAAAAATAAGATAAAAGCTAAATTAGAAATAATAAATGAAAATATAAAATTTAGAACGGCAAAAATAAAACATACGAATCAAGATATAGAAGATTTTAACATACAGATTAAAGAATTATTAGATTTAAAAGTAATAAGACCGTCTAATAGTCAACACAGATCAGTAGCTTTTATGGTTAGAAATCATAATGGAATAAAAAGAGGAAAAACAAGAATTGTTATAAACTATAAAAAATTAAACGACAATACTGTAGAAGATGGATATAAAATACCAGATAAGGATATGCTAATAAATAAAATACAAAATAGCAAGATATTTTCTAAATTTGATTGTAAATCTGATTTTGGCAAATAAAAATGGCAAAAGAATCTATTCCTTAAATATCTTTTTCTACTCCATTAGGACACTTTGAATGGTTAGTCATGCCTCTTGAATTAAAAAATGCACCATCTATTTTTCAAAGAAAGATGGATAGTATATTTAATTCCCTTCCATTTGTTTGTGTATATATTAGATGATATTCTAGTACATAGTAAAAATTATAAAGAACATATGAAACATCTAGAGATAACCTTGAATAAATTTATAGAAAATGGTTTAATTATAAGTAAAAAGAAGATGAAAACAAATAAACAAAAAATTAAATTTTTAGAAATAATTTTAGGAGAGGGAAAGATTCAATTACAGCTACATATAGTGCAGGCAATTTTACAATTTTCAGATAAAATTGAAGAAATCAAGAAATTACAAGTCTTTTTAAAAATATTAAATTATGCTAGACATTTTATTAAAAATTTAGGAAGGAAAGTAAAACCACTGTATAGTAAATTGTCTAGTAAAGGACAAAAATATTTTAATCAATCAGATATAGAATTAGTTAAAAAAATAAAAGCAGAAGTTAAAAATTTACTACTATTAAAATTACCATTAGATAGTGAATATAAAATAATAGAAAAAGATGGATATGAATTAGGATGGGAAGGAATTTTATATTCCAAACCAAATAAATATAGTGATAAAAAAGAAGAAAAAATTTGTAGATATACTATCGGAAAATACAAGATAAAAGGAAAATATTTAACTAGTTTAGATTATGAAATAATGATCACCATACATAGTATAAAAAGTTTTAAATTATTTTAAATACTGAATTTATAATTAGGACAGATTGTGAAACTATAGTAAAATTTATTAAAAAGATAAATTTTGATAAGATAAGATATAAAAGATGGTTGAAATTATATGAGATATTAAGCAGTTATAAAATTAATATAGAACATATTGATGGAAAAAATAATATTTTAACAGATAATTTAAATAGGCAAGTTATTAATTTTCTAACTTATTATCTTCATGATGCAGATAGATCTAAAGATGATGAACTTTGGAAATGTCACCTTGAAAGTGGCCCCTCAAGGATCTAATCTTCGATTTAAAGTAAATAATTTAGAAAAATTACTAGAAAGTGAGTGTTGTCTACTGGATAATCTCTAGATGGCACATGATTCTAAACAAAAATTAGACAGCATTAATGCTCTAGCTAATCATTTTAAATAGATTCATAATCAAGTAGAAAACAAAAATTTTAGTTTCTTTACAGTAATTAGAGGTAGAAAGTCCGAAATATATAATTATTGGCTAAAAGTACTACAATAAGTAGAAAATTTTCCCGACCCCCTTTTCAAAGAATTTTATACTCTTGAAGAAACTTTAAATTTTTGTAGAGAAATGATAGGATTTAATTTTCATATATTCGAATGAATTAGACAGATCATGCAAACCCCCTCTCAAACTTCATCATCATCTTCATCAATAAAACTTTGTGATAATTGTGAAACTATGACCAAAGTTGTTAGAAATTTAAATTTTAGAAAGCATTCTCAAAGATCAAATTTCTTCATCTCAACAAACTATTAGTAAATATCAAAATGAAATTCTTAAATTGCATAATAGTTTAGCCAGACTTAAATACACTTGAAAACCACATTTCTAAAGACATTGCATCTACAAGTAGAAATTATCCTAATAAAATAGAAAGAGTTATCGAACTAACAGATTTTATAGCTGCGGGACAGGAAAATACTTTTTACGAATTAGAACAGAAAATTGGTGATTGCACCAATATTGTTAAAAGTTCTATAAAAAAATTCGTTGTACAGAAAATCATAGATTTTGCTCAAATTTTAAGTTACTATCATAATGAAAATAGATATTTCCTTAGACATGGTCCCAAACACGATGCAACCCAAAATTCAGTCTTCTTTAAACACAATTATCCAACAATTTCATTTGATTATACAATCTTTGAAAAAGAAGACCTCTTTTACCTAACTTTACAGTTTGGTATGATAGATACTATATACATATTAAACATATCTTTTCTATTTTTTCACCAAAACTTAAACAGATTCCTGATCAGTTAAAAGATCATTCCCTTAATGATTCAATTCATTTCCATACCCCCTCATGTAAATAAATGGCACTGTAATTCCAACTTATCATCATATTTTAATTTATGAAGGAGCCAACAAATTTAGACCCTCTTCAAGGACGAATACTAAAATAAAAATTAGACAGATTGATTATGAAAGAAGAATATCAGAAACCGCAACCATGATGGAAGTTCAAAATAATGATTTCAGATTAGTAGCACAATGGAATAACGGAATTATTTTCTGCCAATAGCACATTGCCATGAGAACTAAAGCAGAAAAAATTTTAGTACCAAATATTAAACAAAAGAATTTATATCTGATGGCATTTCAAGAGACCAATGGAAAAATTACAGAAGCCTTATCAGATATAGAAGAGGAAGCATACATATCTGATAACAACGATAATGAGATGGATCCAGAACTAGAAGAAGCCATGGTAGAAATAATGGACAGATAAAGACAGACGAGATAGAAAGATGGAGAAATAATTAACAAGACAGGAAGTCAAAGAGAAGAGGCGTAAAGATAAAGCTTTTAAACATATTTCAAAAATCTGCAAAGTTGATTCACATTTTTCAAGAAAAGTCAGGCATGAAGACAAAAGTTCCCAATATCATCTTCTCAAATAATTCATTCTTAATTACTCACATGGAAAATTGTACATTATTCTTTAATTTTAAATCGCACAACTGTAAAGTGTGCACAGTATTCTTCAATTATTGATAGCACATTTACAACACCAACTGAATAGATGTGATATACCAACGTCTATAAATACCCACACCTCTCACGAAAGAAAATACACCGAAGAAAGCACAAAGCACACTATCACACTTATACTAAAAAATCTCCACCATATTTGTAAATTCAAAGACACCCTTATAAATTCAAATATTTTGTAATTAAAGTAAGTTCTTTTTATATCTTCTCTAGTTTATAATTTTCGTTTAATTTAATTATTTTCAGACAAGGCCTCAAAGGGGAAACACCAAGTAATCAATTAATTTATTTACAAATAATATTGTATTTCCGTTTCAAAAACATATTTTTAACGCTCTTAACCTCTTTATTCTGGATTCCATAGCCAAAAGATAAAGTAATCCTCTGAGTCACGTTGGCTAATTTGTGTCCCAATTGTGAAAATTTGTTAAAGCCTTTTTAAACATGATGAAAATCTTTTTTGCTACAATTTTAAGCCTTTTTCAAAAGGTTAAGAAAAAAGCTAAGAGATAGTTAAAAAAAAGTTTGAAGAAATTAATTTGCTGAACGGTAAAGTACTCGAAAGTCATTATAAACATATCGTTTTAAAGTTCTAATATTTTATGCATTTAAATTACACTGCCTTACTTGTTCATTGGAAAGTTTTAACGAATATATTAATACTTGTTTAGAAAATAGAGAAATAGAAAGATTAGTCGTTGTAGAAAGTAATATTTTATGCGCTCTAGATAGAAATAGAGGTGACCCCTCTTTACAGATCAAGAAACAA